CCTTTTCAAAAGCAACTACCTTAGTAGATTTTGAAACTGTCAAGAAATGAAGATAATTAGTTTCTAACATACAAAATTAAAAAATATGAAAAGACAGTAAAACCTCACCAAAAGGTGATGGAGTCAAAATTTTGACTAGATCGATATGTACTAGCCAAGGAGGCAGGAGGTCTTCGGGGAAGTTAAGGTAAGGAAAGTAAGATAATTTCGAGACAGAAATATCTTTGTTTTTGGGTTTTGGACGAAGTGTTTCCCTTAGGGATCTCAATTCTCGAACCCATTTGGGATGAGTTAATGGTTTGGCAAGTCCAAAAGGAGCTGTGGGAAAAGTGGGAAGGCGATTTGGACAATACATTTCAAAAGGGGTTCTACCTAGAGGATTGATTATTTTGTGGTTCGATCGATTAGTGTCTGTTTTATTGGATAAGGAGATAACAGCATCATAATAGGTCGATTCTAATTTCAGTGGGGTGTAACATATTTGATAAAAGTTCTCGAATCGAGATATTTGAAGACAGTGGAAGTGTGTACCTTTCTTTGTTTTTGATTTGTCCTGCAACACAAGAGAAGGATGAGCAGTCAGTTTCTGTCGAACTTCATCAAAAGCAGTATGACTACTCGAAAACCAACCGGCCCACCATTGAGAAAAACCCACAGTAGACAAATAATTTGACTCGAAAGCATAAGGGTAAAAATGCATCGGGGTCTTCGGTAAAAGCTTGACGAGCTCCCGACTAATCATAGATTCAGTTAACTTGGACCTTGGGGAGGTATCGAGAGGGAAGAAAGGTAAAGACTGGCTTAAACCAAACTGCCTCGAGAAAAGCTGAGGATAATAAGTTATAAACTTAAAGTCTTTTGACTGAAAACCCGATATTAATACATCATGGGTCAAATAATTACTCCATATATCGATCAGCTCCGATTGCAACCCAGGAGTCGAGGCAGGGAACTTTGACTTAAACCAAATTGGTCCCATAAGTTGGTCACTTATTTGTCCGAGATGTGTGGTAAAGGGAGCCAAAATCGAATCGAAGGTGAATCGCGTCAACAAAAAGTTAAGATATCTACAATAGGACGCTTCATCAGGCTTATGGCGAGGATGACGAGAAGACAGTCGAGCGCCTTCTATATTTATACTTGGGGGGATGGTAGAAGTAGGGGGAAGAATGTTCTCAAAAATCGAAGTTAGCCATAATTGTATAAACCAAATAGGCCCAGAAAAATTTCCCGAAGCTTTAGGAGTATTTAGAATTTCAACAGCCTCGTCGAAAGCAGTATATACATGTGCTAACAAAAATTTGGCTAAACATATTCTAGGTTGGCCCAGGTGAAGAAGATATGCAAGGTTAAACAAATGAGAGGAAATTTGGATCGATCGAGGGCAGAAAACATGGGTACATAGCCAGTACACCAAAAAGGCTACGTGCTCTTCATCAGTAACAGTTATCAAGTCGTCATCGACAAAATGCTTCTCGAGGAAATGCCCATAGGCCTTCGATTCCCAATCGATTTTGGACTTTAGAGAATCATCCGAAGGACATGCACCCTGAAAGTATCTTTCTCCTACAGGTTTCAGTCCAGTTATAGCAGCAACCTCAAAGAGAGTAGGTGAAAGGGGACCACAGGGCAACTCCAAGGCATGTAAATTCTTGTTCCACAAGTGCACTGCAGACAAAAACATTGCCATATCCAAAAATGATAAATCGCATCGAGATAGGTGTAAAAAGTCATAAATCCCTACATCTCTCCAGTGGTTTCCAAACTTGGCTTTTACCCTATCAAACCATCTAGTAAATGAAGATTTTTTGGAAGGAGGACCCGTTCGGTATACCCTCGAGACCATATTCAAAAAATCAACCCTAACTTCAGGTTGGTGTATAAGAGCCGGGCTAGGCGCGAGGTTAAGGGGAGAAAAGGTTCCATCAATAGGACAAAGAGGACCCCCAAAAGCAAAATTAATACCCTCAATATTATAAGGAATCAGTACCTGTGTCTCGGCAATTTTCCGAGAAGCCTCTTCCTTCAAAGGAATGGGAACAAACTTCTGATTATTGATCTCCAGCAGGTTTGAGGCCAAGGAAGGAAGGGGTGGAGCGGAAAAGTCAGAAGATTTGGAGGAAGTAGCCATTTCAATAACTGATAGGACGAAGAAGAGTAAGGTAAAAGATGAAAGCACATGGATAAAGATGAGCTCAAGGAAGAAGATGAAGTTTGCAAAGAGGTAAAAGTTCGCGTAAAAAACCAGAGTAAAAAACCAATAGATATTAAAAGGAAAATCACTTAGGGGACTGGAAACGACGGAGGTGAAAGGTAATAAATGTAGCGTGTACTGTAAAAGCAGCAGACTGACGAGATGGCGACGTAAAGCAAAAGTGAAAACTAAAACCCCTTTAACCCTAAAACCCCAGTAACCCTAAACCCTAAGTTCTGTGGGCCTCCAAACACTAAGGCGGGAATATTGAAAGAATATAAACAAACCATTCATATTCTTCCAAGGGGGCATTTTGTTAGTGGCAAATCGAAAAATGCTTCGATCAAAAATGAAGAAAAGAAATGTGACTCGATAAGATAAACAAAAATTCGTTCGATGTCTAATTAGGAGTATGTAGCGTAAAGCATCGAGAAGTACAATCGAGAATCGAGTGAATGATGACCAAATGCCTGTTGTCGAATAAAAACTAAGTCACATAAGACCAGGGTTAAAAAGGAATCGTAAGCAATTTGAAGTTCTCGAAAAATACAAAATCGAGAGTAAAGAAAGCCAATGCGAATATCGAAAATTTTGGCTAAACCATAAACAGAAGAATAAGTCAAATGCACGGATAGAGAGCAGTTTCGAAACCATGGAAGAAATCAAAGATCGTGAGAACGTGGGAAACCGTAGAAGATAAAACCGCCATATGCACGTAGAACGTGGTAGCAGTCATGTTAACTGCTCTTGGAAGACTTGAACGATGCACTATAAATAGAGCAAAGAAGGAAGAAACAGGGGAGCGAAAATTGGCAGAAAACAGAATCAGTAGTGAAAAGTCTACTGGAGAAACGACGAACACCATGAAGCTTCTGGCAATCTGGATTTCCTTGCTCACTGAGTACATTTACCGCTTTCTGTATTTTCCTTGGTAATTTACTTTGATGCAACTTAAATTCAGCAGTTTTATGTTTCTGTATTTCCGATTCCTTGTTATTTCAATTCAATGAAAGTTTAAACTTTTGCATTTAAATTTCGATTTCTCGTCATTTACCTTCCTTGCAAGTTTCGATTTCTTGTCATTTATTATCGATTTCCGTCATTTACTTTCATTGCAAATTTCGATTTCTTGTCATTTACATTTGCACTGTTTTCGATTTCTCGTCATTTACCTTCCTTGCAAGTTTTGATTTCTTGTCATTTATTATCGATTTCCTGTCATTTACTTTCATTGCAAATTTCGATTTCTTGTCATTTACATTTGTACTGTTTTCGATTTCTCGTCATTTACTTTCATTGCAAATTTCGATTTCTTGTCATTTACCTTCCTTGCAAGTGTCGATTTCTTGTCATTTACATTTGCACTGTTTTCGATTTCTCATCATTTACAATTAAGGCAAATTTGGGGTTTTCGCATTTTACATTTCCTTGTGATTTAACATTCAGTTTCTCGATTCGATACTTTTACTACTTTCGGGATTTTAAATAAAAATACTAAAAAATAGCATTTTTGGATTCTGTGACTTTCGATTCTCATACATAATTTCGATTGAAAGTCAGACTGCTAGCCTAAGTAAAAGAACTTACGTGGTAGAATTTTGATTAGAATCAAAATACCTTTAGAATCGACCAGAAACAGTTGGTTATCGAAATACTTGAAAAAATCTTCATTTTTAAAATTGTTTAGAAAGTGACCATCACCGCACTAGAACCAAACACATACATATATTACAAGGCATTTAAATGTTTGTTTGAAATTTTTTCATGTTCAGTTGTTGCGGTTGCCAGATGCCAAAATGAATTTAAAATATAAATTACATCTATAATATTATATTATAAATAACACTATACGAAATCATAACTTCTCTATATTAAAATAAAAACATAGAAACTAAATATAAAAGAAAAACCAATACACTAACCCTAGTATATATAATACAATAACAAAAGCACCAAATTTCAAAATTAAAATATAATGTTTAGATGCCGAACCTTAATTATGTCAACAAATTTAAGGTTGAAATATTGATTCCAAAAATATGTAATTCTTTTCCTTAACATGTGATTTATTTTAATACGAGTAAATCTCTTGTCCTATTGCATTTTAAAGTTTAGATGACAGATAATTAATAAAAGAAACCCATTTAATACACTAATCAATTTTAAAGAAAAACTAAATTTATGTAAAGAAAAGAAAATTCGACCACAAAAAATGACTGTTATAATAATATAAATCTAATATTTAGTATTATTATGGTATGATGAGCATGTTTTTCAACAAATACGATGGTGTAGTTTTAAACGAGCATGTGGTCACATGAAGTTACAGTGCATTTCCTGAAAAAAGAAAAAATTACAATGCAAAAAGACACTGTCTGTATCAACAAATTATTTATATAAAAATATTATTATAATTAAATAATAATTAAAAATATAATTATTACAAATAACAATTATAAGGTGAAAAAAATGTAATAAAAATAATCGTTACGAAAAGTATTAATATTTTCACATCAGAAAATAAAAATATCCATTATACAATTTTATTTATTAATATTATATTTATAAAATGATTGATTTAAAATAAAATTATTTAAAAATTATATTTTATTAATAAATGAAGTTGTTAAATGAATGTTTATTAATAATGAATTCAATTTATATATATATATATATATATACATAAATTTAATTTATATCAATATATTTATTATTAATATTAATATTATTAACAAGAAAATATAAATATAATAAAAAACCATTCTTGAACTAAAATAATGTATTAATAAAAAATATATATACATTTTTACTCATCCATACAGAGGTATGAGTCTGAACCAGGATCATCTACTGTCTCTACATCATCAAGATACTTCCCGGCGAAAACCTGAGCCATTCACCATTTTTTTGTTTTTTTGAAAAGTTTTTTAACCAACCAATTTTTATAAACATATAATAAATAATCTTAAAATATTTTTTTAGTTAATTAATAATAAGAAAAGAAAAGAAAAATAAATAAATAATAATTTAAAAAATTAAAAATAAATTATTAAATAAATTCCTTTTATTTCTGAAAATCTATAAAGATGTGGTGTAAAAATATCTAACATTTTTTTCTTGGAACTATATGTTAACTAATGAATGGACTAGACGAGGATGTACATTGGCTGTAGAAACAAATCGCTGCAGAGGATCTAATTTGATACTATACATAAAAATAAGGTAATAATATATAGATAATAATTTATGACATACATGTACTTAATAATTCAATTATAATAATATAATAACTGTAATAATTTTTTTATAGTAATAATAATAATTATTATTATTATTATAATTTTATTCGCGACTTTTACAAAAATAGTCGTCAAAATATAATGTTTCTTACAAATTATACGAATTTCTATGATTTGCTTACTTTCCATCAACACAGTTTGAGAAGAAAAATATAAGAAATAATAATTTTTCTTTTTAGTAAAAATTCTTTAATTTTGTAATATTTAAAATAGAATAATAAATTAAAATAATTTTGGTAATTTAATATTTATTTTTATGAAACTATATATTGTTTTTAAGTATAAAATAAGAATTTATTTCGTCTCAACTTTCCTCTTCTAACTTCAAAATCAAAAGCACCTCGTTGAAACCAAACAAAAGAGGACTTCTAAGGCATGGGGCACAGAGCCAAACTGAAACGATATGCGTTCAAAAAAATTTAGTAAAAAATATTATATTTTTTTCACACCCTCAAATTCTGTCCCTAATCTAAAGAAAGTACGAAACGAGGAAGTGTCTGCACTTTGCACCATCCATATCTCGGCATTAGAATTCCGTACTTGAGCTATACAATATTTGCCTTCACTAGTAACTACCAATCTACAACACAAAGGGAGTAAACAGATTCATTCACGTACATGCCACCCACCAACATATTTCACCCCAAACTTGTACAAACAAATCAGAAATTAAACTGTACAGGTTCACCAACTTCGCAATTCCAGAACCTAAAACTGGGATTTAGTATTAGATTTCCCAGTTCTCACACAAGGTATTATTCTGGATGGAGAGAAGTCTCACAATTCGTAGCAAAAAAGTAGTAGCTGGTAAAAGAAAACTTATTCAAAAAAATAGTTGTAATGGTGAATGATGATTATCATATTCATATCTTATCTTTTCGAACTTCGACTCCTTGACATGAGATCTCTGAGGCCGCCAACAATCCACGTCTCTTTAGCAACATCAGAAGAAATGTCGTAAAAATCGGAGTCGTATCGCATCACCGCCACGTTCTCTTTCTTTACCTTCTCTTCCTCCATCAATGACTTTAAACTCTGTCCCTTCTTTACCACCACCTCCCCTTTTTCTTTTCCTTTTTCTCTCTCCACATCCTCCTCTTCTTCAACATCACCACCTTCCCTCTCTCTTACCCAACTTTTCGCCGGAGCAGACCTGCATCGCATCAGTAATAATGCGTTCGGAGGAGGGACCGAAACCGACACAGACACGCTTTCATCGTCGTTTTCTCTCTCCTCCGTCTCTTCTCTCCGGTTGTTTTGGTTCTCTTGCAACACCATGAACCATTTGGAGAAGACAGTTCTGGATGCTTCGTTCTCGTTTTCTCCCACGCCCACGTGGTTTTCCTCTTCTTCAACTTCGACTTCGTCGTCGTCATCGTCTTCTTCTTCAGTGGCGATATCGGTTCCGGAGAAGGAGCCGAAGCATCTCAAGTCGAACCTTATGCTTCGTAAACAAGTCAGGAACTGCATTATCTCCTTCTTGAAACCGAGGGTCTCAGCCCAGCTGAGACGCTTCCTCTGTTTTTTGTCGATGTGGATCTTCTCTATCTCTTCCATCACCGATTGCCAGCTTCTACACGTCGTCGTTTTGGGCCGGACCTTGATCTGACCAGCGCACGTCACTTTGGGAGAGGTTGGTTCCGTGATTTCCGAGCCCATTGACTTGGTTTTGGCCCATAATAAAGGACTGGCCTGGCCTCCGCCGCCGCCTCTGGAGAATGACTTCTTACGGTGGTGGTGGCTGTGGTGGTGACGTTTGCTGGGCTCTGAGGGTCGGGCGGGGCTGCAAATGGGCTTGGGCATTAGAGTAAGATGAGCCCGAGATGGGAAACAGACTAAAAGATCAGCAGAGGGTGGTGCTTGTGCTAAAGCTTTGCCTTCTCTTCCTTTCATCATAATTTTTGTTGTAATTTGTGTTTGGGTTATCGTGTATGTTGCTATGACCTTAGATCTTGAGCTTTTAGTTAGTAAAAGTAGAGTAGTAATAGTAGTACAAGTAGCAAATACCAATGGTGGTGTTAATGCGTGGAGGGTTTTTAAAAGAAAGGAAGGAAACAATGACAGCTTATGCAGTCATGCTTTAGCCTTTGTCTAGGTGTTCCTTCTCTTTTATCCATGGGTTTGTTCATTTAATTCTTATTGCGCTGCTTTTTGGTCCCCCCTCTCTCTTTGAATTTGGGTCACGGGGGGTTTTATTTAAAAAAAAATAAAAAATTGGTGCTTGGTTTGAGGAAATGTTTAAAAAAGAAAAAGGTTAAATGGAAAGGCAAAGCCCACGAGGCTTGCTTCATGATCCAATCATGGCCACACCTTGTGAGCCCATGCCAGATGGTTTAGTTGAGTCCTGCTCCTGCATGCCCTCTTCCGACTACACATGCGCTCAACTCAACTACCGACCCTCCCCTCCTTTGGAACCCACAACTTTCTGTGAGAAAATTTAAAGAAAGCAAAAGGGCCCTTCTCCGTAGAGAATGAATACAGATCATTATTGCTTGGGGATCCGTTTGAACTCAACTTCCACTTAATTGCTTCCCAAGCCAAACTGCTGCTGCATCATCATTCATTTCACTCATGCCAACCCAACAAACAAACCCTTTTCTCTTACTCCAATCATTAACTCATGCTTAACAAGAAAATAGTCACTTATATTACAATGCTCCCACTTGAACGAGCTAAGAATTTTATGCCTGTGATTAAACTGGAACACTCAACTGCAGGTCAATCTATCAACAAAATCAATAGTCATTTCATTTCTATAACATAATTAAACATACTGCAAATAAGATTTTGTCACCCTTTTCTTTATCTTTGTTGTCTTATTGTCTCAAACTTTTTTATATTTAAAAGTGAATATATGTAAAGAAACAAAAAAAAATATTGGCGTGATAATGATGCTGTGTGAATATGTGATTTGACAGCAGGAAGCAGGAATTTCCTTAGGTCTAGGTTGTTGAAAATTTTTGAACTCCCTTTATTCTTTCTCACTCCTTTTCTTTTCCGCAATCCGTAGAGTGTTATTATCTTGCAGCCGAACTAAAGCTATGAAGGTGTGAAACGGGGACTAATTAAAGTGAGCATATCATAATGAAGATGGTAATGCACTTGAGAGCATGGGAAAAATGGTCCCCTCTAGTCATTATGCAGGTAGCACTAGGGTTATTATTTTATGCCTTACCATGCCGAATCATAAAATACTCTTCTTCATCTTTATGATTTAATTCATATGTTGCCATCATGATACGGAGATCTTCTTCATTTCTATTTACATATTCCCTGTTACAGACACATAAACAAAGCCAAATAACCCTTTAGAAAGGTGATGATGGTAAGATAATTTCCTCAACTCATACACGTGCCTCACTCTCAACTATTTTGCATTGCAATTGTCGTTTGAATTTTGAAAAGTTAGTTCTGCGTGTTTTTTCTTAAATGAAAATTTAATCACAAAACTTACTGTCCCTAGCAAATTTGTTGATTAAATTCAAATTTGCGAAAAGAATGACATAATAATCTCGAATATCCAGAAAGAAATAAGAGAGAGATAAAGGTAACCAAGATTTTTAATTAGACAAACTTTATGTTCCTGTAGAGTTGAAAGAGAAAAGAAAGAAAAAAAAGATAAAAAATCAATAAAAAGAAGAATCGTTCAACTAGAAAAAAATAAATAAAAGGAAAAGTTGTTTTATTTTTTTTAATAATACTATTTATTATTAATATATTACTTTTTTTTAATTATTGGTTAATTATTTATTATTGTAATAATTAAGAAAAAACTTGTTTTTCAAACATATATTAGTGAGAATAGTTAATTATAATGGTTTTGCTCAATATAATTTTTGGTATATTATGATAATATTTTTAAGATAATGTATTATTTGTTTTGAAGATTGAGTTATTTCATTCTTGAAAGTGTCTTAATGAACTGAAAAATAATATTTTTTTTACTTAAAAGACATCTTGATGAATTGAGAAAGAAGGAAAGATATATATAAATTATTATAGTGACCTCAATTATTAAATAATGTGAGACTTATTAATGTATGTTATGATAATATTCTTAATGTTAATTTTTATATTTAAGGTATTATCTTTTTTGGAGATATAGTTGTTTCATCCTTAAAAGGTGTCTTGATGAACAGAAAAAAGATGTTTTATTCTTAAAAGGAGTCTTGATAGACTGAAAAAAAGAAGAAACATATATAATCAATTTTCATATTTAAAGTATTGTCTTTTTTGGAGATCTAATTATTTAGTCTTTAAATGACATTTTGATGAACTACGGAGGGAGGAAAAATATATATAAATTATGATTATGACCTTAGTTATTAAATAATTGATATTTATTAAAGTTATCAGCATATATATATATATATATATATATATATATATATATATATATATATATATGGAAGAAGATTATCGGATTGATTCACAGTAGATTCTAATTATATTTCATTTTCCATGGTAATTTTATATTTAAAAGATTTATTAATGTTAGGACAGAGATGTATATAACCATTTCAATTTTGCACTCTGAAGATGTTTATTTGGGTATTCAATTTTGCGTTGTGGTTCATAACAAACTGAATCATTTAATTACTTGTTGCATAGAAATTATAATATGAAATAATTAGGTTTCTCGTTGGGGCGTATGGTATAAAGTCATGGTTAAAAGTGTTAGACACAGTTTCATAAGGGTTTTTTCTTAAAAGAAAATCGTGTCAAATAAAATTTAGAAAATATTTTTTATCCAAGAAAATGTTGAAATAAAAATGAATAATCAAAAATTAATTTCAAGAGTTTTTGACTTCTACTTCTTTTTCTTGCTTCATTTCAAATATCAGAATTTAAGAACACAAAATTTTGAGGCTTAAAAAATTATAGATTATCAACTTTAACTTCAAATTGTTATTATTATTATTATTTTTTAAAATTTAGTTTTAAGGTAACTTTCAAACTAAAAAGAAATCAGACAAAGTTCTACTTTGGAAGTAATATATAACTGTTTTGAGTTCATTCAATTTAGAAGACACTTCAGAGAGGTAGTGATGTGCATGAGGTTGAAGAAGTCATTTTCACACATCACGTCAAATAGGAGTGTGGAAAAAAAAAAAAAAAAAAAAAAAAGTAAACTGAAAACATGTCTAATTGTTTATATCTTGGGCACTGTAGTTCTGGCTTTTCAGAAAAAAGACAACTCAACTTCTAAGGAAGTCATTAACCATGAAACCGAAGAAGTAGTCGGGTACGAACTTGCATCATCGTGTGATTTTACATTCCTGCTCCCATAACTTCGTTAATTTGTATTGTTGTGATTGAAATATTATCTATTTTAGATTTTACTTTTAAAAAATATCTTATAGAGTGAGAGAAGAGAATATATATATGGCAATGCCTTGCTAAAGGAAATGTTCATACGGCATTCTAAATCATCTCATAAAAAGCAACTTAACGTGGACATCACATAACAGTTTCTTATTAATACCGAATTACGTAAGTTATAGTAAAAAGAATGTTTCGAGAGTTTGGGTGGCTGAAAAAAAAAAAAAAAACTATGCTGGTCCAAACATATAATAACTCAATTAATCATGCATATTTTTCTTAAAATGATATCTTGGATAAGAAGTGTAGTGCAACAATTGATTTCACGCATACTTTTTTTCTTGGGTGCATCTCTATAACTATAAATTTGAAAGATTTGTATAACTAGGCCCCATGAACCATTTACTTATTCTAACATTTCTTTAGAAAGAGCAAGATGCTTCGTATTTGGCCATAGTGCCACTCGAAGCCGAAGGAAGACCACAACACAACACAACCAAAAGAGAGTAAAGGGGTTGCTTAAAGATTTCAATCAGTTCGGGTTCGTTGGATATATAATATATCACCATAAAAGAAAAATAAAAGTTTTAATCATTGATATTTTTTTTAGTTTTGCAACACGATATGCATTTTCTTTGTAAACAGTGTCGGAACCGGCAATTTTCTTTGTTAGAGAAAAAATAGTTTGTAATATTAAAAAAAAAAAAAACATTCAATTCTAACAATAAATGATTTAGCTACTCGTGTCTATCTAACAAGAGAAGATCTATTGACTAGATAATTCAACTTTTTTTTTCAACTTCTGGAGTTAGTTTATCATATTTTTTTAACCTATTGATATAAAATAACGAGATAGACCTTTTATAAGAACATTAAGTTGGACTCTTAGTCCAAATCTCTCTATTAAGTACTAGAAAAGTCTTATTTATGTGATACATCTCAAATTTCATATTGTCTTAGGACTATAAATCTCTCCAACCAATCATCTTATTTTCATTCCATTTACTTAGTCTCGTTTGAGTGAATCTTTATTTTTATTTATAATTTATTTGTGAGTTGTGTGCGTGTAATAAAGTTTGCTTAAATAAAAAAGAGAAAATTATTTTACTCTTCATGCGTGTAACCTTGAAATATATAAAACAAAAAAGAAAATATTTAATATTTTAATTTTAAGTAAAGAGAATGAGAGTTATACTCTTCAAAGTATGTTTATATTAATATTAAACAAATATGTACTACAAATATCCAGATAAGTTGCTTGACAAAAATTAGTTATAATAAATTTTGACAATTAATAACATGGTCATTAAAAAAGACAGTTATATTAAATTGAATATAACTATTAAATGTAGTTGTAAGAATTATGTAAACTCCTTATATTTCAATATAAAGAAAAACTATTAAAGGCATATGGGAAACCATGACATTAGTACCCATCCAGAGAGACGAAAGTTTAAGAGTGACAAGACATTGGAGTGGGCATAACGGGCTAAACCCAACATCTTCCAGGGCCCAAGCTGGGCTAAACCAAACATCTTCAACGGCCCAATAAGTCCTGCATAACGAGCTACTACATGATCAAGAGTATTAAATATATTTTTGTTATTTTTTCTAAATCTTCAAGAAAAAGTATTCAAAAGATTCTTATATTTTCATACGATAATATTTTTTTTATTTACATGTACACAGGGCTATACATAAGAATACCAATAATATGAAATCTTCATTTAATGGTCTAAGTTTCGAGATAATCTTTTTTTTTTATGACTATAGGTATCCTTTACGAAAAAAATAATACTATTTGTGTCGAATAAAACTATCATGAATGACAACAAAGTCCTCCTTACTCGAAATAAAAAGAATTATTATCAACAACAATTTTTTATTTATTTAACAATTTATTGCAATTGTATATTTAGGATTCAAATTTAAAACTACTCAGTATGTAATCTCACTCTAGATTCACGTACCCAGTGATAGTTAAGCAAAGCTTTTACCTAATTTTATTTTAGAGAAATAAGTTTTGTCTGAGATTAATGGACGTTAAATTACCTTATTTCGAAGAAATGATTTTTAAAATATAATAATAATAAATTGTTTCCAATCATGCATTAAAATTATAATGTAGTAATCATCTTTTATAATTTTTTTATAACTTAGAAACGTAAATTTTACCTTTATAAAAAGGGATTAGTAAAAGATTTTATTTTTCATCATTTTTTTAAAGTTAAAATATTATAAAATAAATGATAAAGAAAAAAATAAGTCTTTAAATTTTATATATACATCTTTTAGGTATGTGGCTACCACACCAGACCTGGTTTTCCTTTCTGTGTTTGAACATATCAAACGTAGGGCCTGTTCTTTTGAGATGTTTGCTTATTGGAACATACATTTTTCTCCACTCTTGGTATCTTTCATACTTGATTCCAACTCATGATTTTTTACTGTGGGATCGTCAATCCGTCAACTTGTCCTACAAGTTGATTTGTGAACTAAATATCATGCATACTCGAGGTATCCTTCTCCAAATATCTTTCTTATTTGAATATAGGTATACTCAATCGATGAATCGTTTATTATTTGAATTTGATTGTTTTAGGATAAATGATCAATTTGAACTACTTCACAAGTTTTAAAATGAATTATTAATTTTTGAAAATTAAATTTGTTCTTGCAAGACCAAACACAATCTTCTCATACAATTCTTTCCTTTCTGCATCCGTTGGTCTTTTCACTATTCGGTCCTCGATTTTTTATGATGCGTGATATATGGGAGAACATGCAAGAAAAAATATTCCGACACTCAAAATAAATAGGATAGATATGTTGATAAGTATATATTGTGTGAAAAAATACGCTTGAGATACTTAAATGACTATGATTGTGTTTCGGTAAAAATTTGGTTGTTTTCGATTTCCTAGAGACTTAGGTTCTAACCAAATTTTAATCATGTAAATTCTTTTTATTTAGGCTATCAAACAGTTTTCAATAAAAAAGTATATATAAATTAAAAATATCACAGTATCGAGTCAAATGAAAGGTAAAACACGCACGTATATTAAAAATACGGAAAATGTGATAAAAATGCATATCGAAATTGACAGTACTATTTTTTTGTATTTTTTATATATTAAAGGACTCGAGAAGATGAAATTTAACAAAACTAAAGAGAACATTAAAAGAACATCGAGGCAACAAATTAACGCATAAAATTAAATTGCACTAAGAGTAAATGACATAAATTAAAGTGCGCATAAAAGTAATCGACAATACTGGAAAGTAAATTAAACGTGCAAGTAAATAAATTACTGAGAAAGTAAAGAAAGCATTACATATATAATCTTAAACTTGCATAAGTGTAAATGCAGAAGTTTTAAATTACATAAGTGTAAATGACAAGGAATTGAAATAACATGAAAGTATATACGGGTGAATTTAAATTGCATTAAAAGTAAAGTACCATAGAAAGTAAAGGAAGCAGTAAAAACAGTCAATGAAAATGGAAATCCAGATCGCCAAAAACTTCATGATTCGTCGTTCTCCGGTAGACTTTTCACTTGTGTTTCTGTTGTCTCTGCCAATTTCCCCTTTCCTTTCACGCTTCTTTCTATTTATAGGCCTGCTTCAACATAATCTCCTAAGAGCGGTTTAAAAACCGCTACCACGTTCCCATACATAAGATAATTGTTCCCTCGATCTTCAATCTCAGCCACGGTTTAGAAACCGCTACCTATGTGCACGCTAACTGTTTCGATTTCCACCTTCGGTACGGTTTAGAAAATCGTTTCCCATGTTCTATGTGTGCGTTAACCGTTCCCTCGATCTCGATTTCAGACATCGAGTGCTTTGAACTGCTTTCTGACTGCCTTCGATATTTATCATTTTTATTCTCCATCATGTCATCGATTTTCTTCCATTCGATTCTCGATCAATATTTTCATACTAATACATGGTCATCGAACAACTCTTGATTTCACATATCGATTTCTTTCTCATCAACACGATAATCGAATGTCTTCCAACCACCTTTCGATTTATCTATCGATTTAACCAACATATGGTCCTCGATTTCCTTCCATCTGCTTTTCGATCCATATATCGATTTTCCTAATCATCGAATTCCTTCTTTCGATTGTCGATTCAGATTCTCGATTTTTCCCACCAACAAAATGCCCCCTTGAAAGAAAAAAATATTTGTGCAAAATTTGTATTCTTTCAAGAATATTTATTTCAACTTTTAAATGTTCTGAATCCAAAGGCTGTTTTTATTATCAAATGTCAAATCAAAGCATTCCCCTCATTAATGTTACTGGATTTCTCCTATAAACTCGTCCTTTTTTCCAAAAAATCTGTCACGTCTCCCTTTAAGTTCCTTCCACCTCCGTTGTTTCACCTGCCCTAATTGACTCCTTTAAAATACTCAAACCAACTGGCATTACCTTTACTAAACCTAACCTATCTTCCTCATCCGTTACCTCTTCTCCTTCTTCCATCTTTTCACAACTACCATGGCAACCTCTAAATCTTCTGATCTCCCTACCCCGCCATTGTCGACGGTGACTACAAACCAAATAGAGATAAACGGCCAAAAGTTTGCCCCGATCCCGCTGTTGGAAGAGGCTTCACAAAAAATCGCTGAAACACAGGTACTTATACCTTATACAGTTGATAATGTTGAATATGCATTCGGTGGTCCTATTCGTTATTCTGGTGGATCGTCTTCTTCTATTGTCCGTCTGCCTTCCGAAAGCAAAGCCATTATTCACAAAACTGAGATAAGGATCGATTTCCTAAATGCTTCCTCAAAAGTATATCGAACCAGTTTTCCCCATAAAAACCCTTATATATCAGGTGGTTTGATAGAGTAAAAACCAAGTTTGGGAATCATTGGAAAAACATAGGGATTTTCGATTTTCTCCACTTATCTCGATGTGATTTATCATCTTTGGATATGCCCATGTTCTTATCCGCCATTCATCTATGGAATAAAGATTTACACGCTATGGAGCTACCATGTGATCCTCTGTCCCCTACTCTTTTCGAGATTGCTGCAATTACTGGGTTAAATCCCACAGGGGAAAAATATTTTAAGACTGCTTTTCCTTTGGACGACTCACTCAAAGCAAGAATCGATTGGGATGCG